GGACATCATTTAGGGGTTGATTATAATTAGAATATGATTGAGGGTTGGGGGAGGAATCTTATAAACTCAGGGATCATTTTGGAAAAAAAAAGAGGGATGATGGGATAATAGATTTGTAATTGTGAGTTACTCTTTTTAGACAAATATATTGGTATAGATTCTTGTATATTGACACAAAGTTAAATTGTATTGACTATTGTATGCTTGCATGTTTCTACCTCTGTTTAAAACATTTTTTATGTATTGACATATATTGTATTGATATATATATTTACCATATTGCAGTGTACATTTTTACCTCTGATTAAGATACTTATATAATATTTGTGTATTGATATATATTTACCTACTGCAATGTATATTTGTACATTGTTTATATTCAGAGGTCATTGTCCTCATTTGTTTCACAGTCATTTATTTTCTTAGTCTTTAAGTTAGATAGATATTGAGAATTATATAGATAAATAGTCATCTAACTTTGTCATTTATAATTAGACTAATCAGGTTCTTTAGATATATAGAGATTATACTCAGTATAGATAGATAATCTTCAACTTCTTCAAAGAGCTGTAGAAAATGGCCTTTCATCTAACTCAGAGTTTTGTGGTAGTGAGACACAATTGCTCCTGGCAACACCACTCTATTCCCGAGAGAATGTTGAGCACCAAAGACACTCCACATGGAGCCTTTCTTGTTGGCAGAACTGGCCTTTGGGCAAAGAAATGCCCATACCTCAACGACTGACAAAGATACAGAATGTGCATCAATGGATAAAACAGGACTGTCATATCCTGCCAAGAGAAAATGGTATGTCAGTTATGTTATTCCTTAGCCAAAGTTGGTTGCTTCAATGCTGCTAATGTGACTTTGGGTGATTGCCCAGGTAGCTAGTTGTCTCTGTGATTTGTTACATGTTTTGGAAGTTGTTTTACTGAACTTTCTAATTATCCAGGTAACATTATTTCCCTTCTCAGATCTTCGATGGGGTTGAAGACTATATAAATGTAGTTACTTTCTCTCATGACTTGGCCAAGTTATTTATTATACAAGACCAAGCTAGTTAGAATAGGACATTTGTACTTATTGTATATAATTTCATAGTAGGTTTAGAACTCTCTTATTTAAACAAAAGGGGGAAGTATTGTGGGACATCCTCCCACTCCTCCAGCCTATAGCTGCTGAGATACCAGCCCATTGGTGCGTGGTCTCTCTCCCTTTAAAAAACTGGCTACTTCCCTCTCCTCTCTCTCTTCTCTTCCTGCTCCACTGGCGACTAGACTCCCTTCCTGGTTGCATAGAGGGCTGTTGCATGGGACAGTGATCTGTAAGTTTTTTCCACTTTAAATAAATACCACCCTATTAATCATAATTCCAAACTATTGTGGCATTGTTTGTGACTTACGCCTTCACAGATACATAATACAAATTGTTTTTCGGTAGTTCCAGTTCAATTAAAAATTTAAAACTATCCTTAGAATTGGTGTGTATTTCTACTTGCCTAAACCCAAGGCTACTCATTAAAAGGATAATCCATAGTATCTGTCTCACATCAGAAGAGCCACCTCATATTGGACAGAAGCAAATCTAAAAATAGGTATTATTTTATGTTTAATCTCATAATTCTTTGACATTATTTTTGACTTTAAAACTTTTGTTAGGGTACAAATATTATCTCAAAAGTTATAAGAAATACATATATGTTTTGTCATGATATTAACACTCATGTAGAATACTAACTAATTCTAGAAAAGGGTATTATCTAGCTTCCCGTATGTAATCTCAGGTTTGAGTCTCTATCAGGTAACTTGCAACTAAGTTTTTGTACTCTAAATATACATAGCAAATTATGGTCCTTTTGCATCTTTGTGATCTGCTGTGTATGACATTTAAAATGGTTAAATTTTCTACAGTGTACTATGACCATCCTTCTCAGCAACCTCTGGATTTCCCAAAGCAAGAATGGAGTCTCACAGCAATGATTCCACCTGGACTATAATAATGCGCTAAGCTGACAAACACAACCTAAAGATAGGCTTTTGACTACAAACTGCTCAGAACAATTTCAAGATGGCTATTTGAGAAGATACAGCCTCACACACTACTCTTGGCAGGACTTGAAATAAGTGCTGCACTTTTCCATTATATAGAGTGGACAATAAATGTTACAGCTATTTCTCTCTGGATTTGATGATTACCCCAATTTTTTTCAGCATCCTCTAAAGATGCGATTGACACCAGGCAGAAGGAAGAAAGCTAAAGAACATGATGACCATATTTTCCATAAATGGGGTAGGAAGTTTATGGTCATTCAATGGGTTATGTATATTTTAGGGGAGGGTTACAAGTTGTTATTGGCAATGGTCAAAAAAAAAAAAGCTGGACAAAGGAGATGAGATTCATCATTCTCATTCAAAAGTAAAAAGGAGAATATCAATATGATAGGATAAATCTACTTTTAAATCAAAAGCAACTACTAGTTTTATATATTTTATATTGACTTGGATTTTTCTCTAATGTTATAAAATTGAGGTTATTTTTCTATAACTGTATATATGTTGTAGAAATGATAGAATAAAGAGGTAGATTACTGAATCTGTTTTTAATCCATAAATTCAGCTACTAGTCTTATTTGACGTTGATATGGATTTTATATGTACTTATACAAATTGAAGTTATTTTTATTAAATCATACTGCACATACATTTCTACCCTGTTCAAAGTCTTGTACCAATATAACTCACTTCACAATGTAATGCAATTTTAGTACTTGAAAATTATTTTTACAAACTATTTAGTATAATAAAGAAATGGAGATAATGATGCATTACAATTGAAAATGTAGTCATGGAATATTTTCAAGGTCAAACAGAGATATATTTTAGCTAGACAATATGATAAGGTAGTGAAACCAGCTTGGTTCCATATCCCATTAGTTTGGAAAATATTATCTTCCATTCATTCACTCAGCAGTGGTGCCTAGTCTTAAAGGTATCACAGGTTTCCTATAGACTAATTAATATTAGTCTATATTAATATTTATTATTATTAATTCATCAATATTTTATATTAATATTTATTATTATGAATTTATCGATATTATTGTCAATTTATTAGTTAAACATTAATATTTAATTAATATTTTGAAAGTTTAAATTAAATTTTAAATTAAGGTATATTTAAGTTTATGAAGTTTATATAACTGATTAATGATAAATAAATCAAAGAAACAAATTTCTAGATGACACAAAAATAAAAATGCAGCCAAATCTTTTTGGCACATTTATAAACAGTACTAAGGACATTTATAGATCTAAATGTAAAATTAAAAAAAAATCAGAAAGATTAGAAATAAGTAACTCAGTGATGAAACTTAGTAACAGAAAATCAAGTACAAACAATACTCAAATAAAGTTCATGAGAAGAAATAATAAAAAACAAGAGTAGAATTTAAAGGAATATAAACAAATGCAACCATTTGTTAAGATTAACAATATTAGAGGACCTTTAACATAGTCAATTAAAAAAAAAGAATGTACCACTTTTTCTCCTACTGGGTTACCTCATCCAATCTTGATCTGAGAGATTGTGCATAGTCTTAAACCATCTTTTATTTCATTTTAAATTGATTATCCCTGTGAGCAACACTCTTTCCCGAGTGGAAACAGGGGAACAGTGTATCTGGGGGAGCGTGTAACTGGAGTTTGAACTGAAAGGAATGGAGAGAAGGGAGGCTGTGACGAGGATAAATTGTATGAGAGAAGAATAAATACAAAATAAGAAGAAAATATGAGAGAGAGAGAGAGAGAGAGAGAGAGAGAGAGAGAGAGAGAGAAAGGAAGGAAGGAAGGAAATGAAAGAAGAGTGCATCCAAACAGTCCTAGGTGGACTGGTACTGAACAAGCATGGGATCAAACCGAACTCTCTGAATGTGGCTGACAACGGGGAATGAGAAGCCAACAATAATGGCATGGGGATTTGTTTCTACTGCATGTACTGCTTTTTGAAATCCTATGCTATTTGGATGCATACCTTCCTAAGCCTGAATGGAGGGGTTAGGGCCTTGGACTTTCCACAGGGCAGCATACCCTGCCCTCTCTTAGGACTGGAGTGGAAGAGGGGAGAGTGAGTGGGGAAGCAGGAGGGAAATGGGAGGAGGGGAGGAAGTAGAAATTTTGAAAGGTATTATTTATAAAGCAATAAAAAAAATTTTTGAAAAAAAGAGAAAAAAAGAAAGCTGACAGGAAATAACGTTTGGCCTCTTTGAAAGTGAACCACAGTTTGTAAAAGATAATCTAATTTACCCCAACCCAGCTGGCTAAACTGTGTTTATCGTCACCAAGGCCAGAGTCTCCTACATCCTAATTAAGGGAGCCATCTTAGGGTTGACAAGAGACTTGACTCTAGAGGGGCTCCCAGGTGTCCAGGGAGATGTCCCCAGTTAGTTTCTTGGGCAGCTGAGGAGAGGGAACCTGAAATGGCTCTATTCTATAGCCATACTGATGAATATCTTGCATATCACCATAGAACCTTCATCTGGCGATGGATGGAGATAGAGACAGACACCCACATTGGAGCACTGGACTGAGCTCCCAAGGTCCAAATGAAGATCTGAAGGAGGGAGAACATGAGCAAGGGAGTCAGGACCGCGAGGGGTGCACCCACCCACTGAGACAGTGGGACTGATCTATTGGGAGCTCACCAAGGCCAGATGGACTGGGACTGAAAAAGCATGGGATAAAACCGGACTCTCTGAACATGGCGGACAATGAGGGCTGATGAGAAGCCAAGGACAATGGCACTGGGTTTTGATCTTACTTCATGTTCAAGCACCCACCTAACAAGGCATTGTCTCCCACATCTGTGGCCTCAGTACTGTGAGGGACTTGGGGACAGACGAGAGGATCGATAGAGTTTGTTGACTGCCAGCTTAGTTTAAGAACATGAAATCCAGGGGAGCGAGCTGTGCGGAGGGCATAGGATGGCTTTGAGGATGGCTGCCGGGAAGAGGGAGGCATGGAGTGCCCCTTCTTTCTCTCCAGATGCACTAGCGAGCAGTTGGGACAATAGCCGGGTGACGTGTTTCAGACCTATGACTGAAATTGACAAACTCGCTGCCTTGCTGTTCGCCGAACGTGGGTCTCACACCATTTTGCTGGTACAGCCTACCAAGAGGCCAGAAGGCAGGACTTATGCAGACTGTGAGTCTGTGAATGAGTGCATGGAAGGTGTTTGTAAGATGTATGAAGAACATCTGAAAAGAATGAATCCCAACAGCCCCTCCATCACATATGATATCAGTCAGTTGTTTGATTTTATTGATGATCTGGCAGATCTCAGCTGTCTTGTTTACCAAGCTGATACACAGACGTACCAGCCTTATAACAAAGACTGGATCAAAGAGAAGATCTACGTGCTTCTTCGTCGACAGGCCCAACCAGCTGGGAAGTAGTTGAGTTGGAAGCATTAGGGGCTGGGGGTGGGCTTGGAACAGGTGCATATAGCGTGCTGTAGTGAACATTTTGTATGATATTAATCCTGTTTCCATTTTGTTACGCTAGAGCCAAGGTTGAATGTATGACATGGAAAATGAATGATACTTTCATTCTGAAAACCACCATTATTGCCCCTTTACTCTTTTTCTTTTCTTTTCTTTCTTTTTTTTTTTACTTAAACATTTTTATGATAATTCAGAGAGTGTTCTTTGCCATTTAAGGTTGGTTCCAGTCCTTGAAACTGTTGGTGTCTGCTTTACAGCAGTGAGTGCACTAACCCCTGTGAGGGGTGGGGTGGTGACAAGCTTAGTTATGTCCTCTGGGAAAGTCTTAATGAAAATAAAGAAATGTTCTGTAGTTGTAAAAAAAAAAAAAAAAAAAAAAAAAAAAGAACATGAAATCCAGATTTTCAGGTAGAAACCCTGCCTCAAAGGAATGTGGCCAGTGATAAAGGATGCAAGTACACACCCTCTACTGGTCTATGTAGGCAAGTGCACACACACGGGAATTCAATCAGGTTTAGGAATTCAACTTCAAGCTGGAGGAAAGGAGAAAGAAACTATTGATCTACAATGTATTTTGGTAATTATTTTATGATTTAATATTGTTATCATGGAGGAAAAGAACCTCACTCTCCTATTTATGTGTTATGATTTGGATATGGCTCAAATGTCCCTCAAGGTTTCATGTGTTAAAATTTGATCCCCATTGTGAGGTTTTAAAAGTAGAAATTTAGATATCTACTTCCCTGCTCCCTCATCTACCCCTCTTCCATCTCATCCATCCTATTCTCTCAAGCTCTCCCCATCCTCCCCTTCTCTTTCCCCATCTCCCCTTATCCCCACCCTACCCCCACCCCCGTGCTCCCAACCCCTGTCCCGCAATCTTGTACACTTCCAATATCCAGGAGGATAACTATATGTTATTCTTAAGGTTGGCAAGAGACTTGACACTGGAGGGGTTCCCAGGTGTCCAAGGAGATGTCCCCAGCTTGTTCCTTGGGCAGCAGAGGAGAGGGTGCCTGAACTGGCCTTATTCTATAGCCACACTGATGAATATCTTGCATATCACCATAGAACCTTCATCTGGCGATGGATGGAGATAGAGACAGACACCCACATTGGAGCACTGGACTGAGCTCCCAAGTTCCATATAAAGAGCAGAAGGAGGGAGAACACGAGCAAGGAAGTCAGGGGTGCATCCACCCACTGAAACGGTGAGACTGATCTAATGGGATCCAAGGCCAGTTGGACTGGAACTGATGGAGCATGTGATCAAACCGGACTCTTTGAATGTGGCTGACAATGGAGGCTGACTGAGAAGCCAAGGACAATGGCACTGGGTTTTGATTCTACTGCATGAACGGGCTTTGTGGGAGCCTAGTCTATTTGGATGCTCACCTTCCTGGACCTGGGGGGAGCAGGGAAGACCTTGGACTTCCCATAGGGTAGGGAATCCCGACTGCTCCTTGGACTGGAGAGGGAGGGGGAGGGGAGTGGCGGGAGGGGAGGGAAGTGGGAGGAGGTGAAAATTATCAATAAAAAATAAATTAATTAAAAATAAATAAATAAATAAAAGTAGAAATTTAATCTAACCAAAGTGTTTAGAAGACACCCTTTAGGAAGTGATTTGAATTAAATAGGGTTATTAAGGTAGAACCCTAAGATTGAAGCCTGGGACTTGATAAGATAATACAAAATATTTATCCATATATTCATCATGAATCACATGTCATGTGCCTTATGATGCTATACCTTAACTTGACACCAGATGTAGTCCTTCGGCCTTGCACCTCCAGAGCCATGAGCTCAAATAAACTACTTTTCAACTAAAAATAATAAAATGAAAGAAGAGACCAAAATTAATAGAATAAGAGATAGACAGAAAACACATTATTTACATCAATAATTCTGAACATTGTAAAGGAAAGCTTTAATAATCTTTAGTCCATTAAGTTTGAAGTCTTAAAATAAATGATGCATTTGTATATTTGCCTGTATCGTCAATGTGAAATCAAAAAGAGATCAACAACTTAAATAGTTCCATAGCAAGCAAATAGATAATGACAGTAATAAAAGAAATCTGATTAAAAAGCTCCCTGGTCTAGGTATATTTGCAAGAGCATTTTTTTAACCAGACTTTCATTGAAGAACTACAATCAATACTTCTTAGATTATTGAAAGCAAACTGTAAACAGAAGGAGTACTTACAAACTTCTTTGAAGTTGGCATTGTTGCAACACCAAAAACAGATTAAAGCACAGCAAAAACTGAAAACTATAGACCAATCAATACTCCTGAGAAACATAGATTCAAAAACTTTTAGCAAAATATATATAAGCTAAATTAAGTCATATTTCAACTATATCTATCACAATCAACCTTCCCTTATTTCAGAGATGAAGGGGTATTTGAACATTTATTATTAAATAAATGTAATAAATTATATAAAATTAATATAAAAATCATATGAATATCTCAGTACATTCAGAACATGCCTTTAATAAAATCTAGTAGGTCCTCATGACAAAACTACTTAACATAATAAATGTTTTATATATATAGTAAGCCCACAAGCAGCTTCCTTTTCAATAGAGAATAACTTGGAGTATTCCCACTAAAATTAGAAATGAGTGCTGGTCACTATACAAACTTATTTTAGAATAACATTTAAAATAATTACCAGAAAAGCAAATTAAAGGTAAACAAATAAAGAAAAGACAAATTATACTCATGATGTGATATTACAAGTAAGAGATCCAAACAAGTCATGCTGATGGAAATAACATGGAAACAATCACATTTGGAATAAGTACACACACATGCACACATATACACACAAACACAAACACAAAGAAATCACAAATAAACTGAATTCATTAGATAAATGACTCCTGCAATGAAAATACTAAATTACAAAATTAAAAGATTAAACAAGAAAACAAAATATGAAAAAAATGTACTATGTTCATTGATTTGTAGAATTAACATTGAGAAAATGACCAAAATCAATTCAGAAATGTAGAATTTTAATAACAGTCCCTGTCATTTTCAGACATAGAAAGAGTAAGCCCAAAATTCTGTGGATGCATAAAAAGCTCAGAATAGCCAAAATAATACTGAGCAAAATAAAGAATAAATGACAAGTTACCTTACTGCATTTCAAGATATTATACAGAATATTATGTTAGTACAAGAAAAAACAAACAGCAATACAAAAACAGACATATTAATAAATGAATCAAATTAGAAGACATAAATATGAGCACATGAAATCATAGCCAATAGATATTTGACACAGTTGTCAAAATATATGTTGGATGAAAGAGCACTTTTAACAAGTGGTGCGGGGAAAGCTTGATTTTTGTCATACAGAAGAATAAAATTGCACTCATATCCATCACCCCACCCACAAACTATCACTAAGTAGATTGAAGTCCCCAATGTGAAATCAGAACTGCTACTATTGTGAAAATAAAACAGATGTATTTCACAAGTGGTAGATGCAGTGAAGAACTTTCTGAATAGAACCACTTTGCTCTGAAGTTCAGGACATTAATTGGCAAATGGAACATCATAAAACATAAAAGCTTTTATGTAGTAAGAAAAATAATCAAGTGCAATGAAACCCCACAGAGTGAGAGACAATCTTCTCCAAGCTGTACATCGATTAGGATATCAACATCCACTGCACACATAGAAGGAAAAAATGAAGAGCCAAGTAAACAACTAATGAACATTGTAAAAATGTTTTATGTCTGTGAACTGACAGTTCTCAAAAAATATCTATCAAATTTAAAATAAACTTAGCATCCTCCAAAACTAAAAAAAAATGTAGATTAAAACTACTTTGGTATTTCTTTCTTGCCACAGAGAGAATGGCTTGCATAAAATGAAGAGCTGACTACAAATGTTGCTGTGGATATGGAAAAAAGGAAACTCTCATTCACTGCTGTTAAGATTGCAAATTATTGCAGCTAGTATGGGAATCAATATGAAGTATTGTCAAAAAGGTAAAAGTTTTCCTACCATACAATCCAGTGACACCACTGTTTGGCAAGTGCCTAAAGGAGTCTTCAACCTACACCACAGATACTTGCTCAGTCATATTCCATCAACTCTATTTTAAATAGTTAGGCAATACAAATAACCCCAATATCCTCCAGTTTGATGTGTGATTTAAATAGAAATTTGCTACATTTTTTTACAATGGAATTCTATTCAGCTTTCAAGAAAAATAAAAACATGAATTTTTTCAAGAGAATGTACAGGAGAACAAAATGCTATACAGAGCGAGGTTACACAAAGGCAGAAATATTAAAACCACATATTCATTCTTATTTGTTGATCCTACTTCTGAATTGTGAGTTTTGAGTGTAAATCCAGAAATAACTGCAAAATCCAAGAAAGTAAGAAGAGACCATGGGAGGAGGCAGGGAGAAAAAGGTCTAGAAAGGAGTGCTTTATTATACAAGTGCTACATACAATTAGGGTCCAGGAAACATCTCAGAATGGAGGCCAGAATATTGTATGAACAAAGACAAATGAATTCAGTATGTTTTCTGTGTGTGTGTGTGTGTGTGTGTGTGTGTGTGTGTGTACATTGTGCACTTGCGTATATAAAGTTGAAATAGCAGTAACTAAATATTCATATGAAAAGTTCAGAAAAAAGTTTCACCAATAAAATGGATCAAGGATATTATTAAGGTTTGAAGAAAAAAAATACAGGATTTGAATCATTCATTCAAGTTTAATGATAATATGAAAATAATTTATAAATGGAACATACAAGAACTTTGGAGGAACTTGAAATGGCAAAATTTATAAATTATAGACAAAAAAGAGAAAATTTTCATTTTATGGGCATAAAATATTTTTAATGAAATAAGAGAAAATTGCTAAAATCTATTTTGAAAGAAGCAAATCTAGATATAAAAGATACAAAAAATACACCAAAT